TAATAATAATAATAATAATAATAATAATAATTTTATACTCAAGTAGGAAATATCGAATTAATTCTTGTGCTTGCACTCATGCTGGAAATACCAAACAACTTTTTAATAATTATATTCAAGTACTGAAATATCAAATAATTCCTTACAATATATTCACAATGTTCATATTTAAGTAAGAAATATAAATGATTCATATATTTATACCGATGTATGAAATATCAATTATGAAATACCAAATACGAAATATCAAGTTACTGTTCGATAATTATACTCAAGTACTGGAATACTAAATAATTTCTTAACACTATATTCATGATATTTAAGTAGAAAGTACCGAATAACTTTTTAATAATTATATTCCAAAAGAGAACTATGAAATAATTCTTTGAAATATTTGATCATACATATTTCAAGTTTAACTTATCAGAAATTGTTAAACAGAATATGTTTTGGTTACCGTATTCTTATCATTTCATAAGTAAATTAATCTTATTCCAATATCAGCCTTATTTTAAACTGTTAATCAAGACACAATTAGTTTAACAATCATCGATATATTATCCTTCTGAGATGATGTCTTTTTAACTTATTTCAAAATTTCAAAGCAAACATTTTGCAATTAATGTTCTTTGATCATTTCATTCTTAAAATTTCTGGAATGTATTAATCGACAAGTGGCACTTTTTTTTTAATATATATGAGAAAAGGAATTGAAATACTTACACCATAATGTAAAATACTGTATTCGATAAATTTGCTGATTGTTTTACGGATTGCTAAAGCTGAATATTCGTTAGCTTTTTCCGTTTCGGTTTCGGTTAACATATCCAAATAATCAGTAGCAGTAATTATTTTCATCCAGCAGCCTTTGTAGAGCCAAGCATTAATTGCCTGGAAGTATTTTCCTTATTTTTGTTAACCAATTGTTACTCATTTGAATATAAAACTAACAATTTTTTCTTTTTGATTCATTTTCAAAAAAAAAGCCTAAAAAATGCTTATTAAATGATAGAAATTCCAGAATTAAAATGATTATAGGGAATTTTTAGCGGTTGTTAATTAATTAATTAATGATTTGTAACAAAATGATTGAAATAAATGTGTATGAAATTTATTAAATTTGAAATTTTCATTATACCAATTTTACCAAATTTGAACTAATTAAAAATTGTTCAAATACAACAAAAAAAGCAATTATTATTAGATGTAAAAATCTAAACAATTTAATATTTGTATATCAACAAAGATTCTGAATCCTTATATGATGTGGCCAAGGATTTTGAATCTTTATATCATGTGGTTAGTGAATTGTCATATCATATAATTAAGGATTCTAAACCTTAATATTAGGTAACTAAAGATTCTGAATCATCATTTCATGTGATTATCATTTTACAAATACATTACCATACTAAAATTGGATAAATTTATATAACGGGATGAAAAACCTTTTAGATAAAATGCAAAAATTGTTACATACAATTTAATAATTGTATTATGTTGTATACCACCAAAGATTCTGAATCAATATATAATATGGTACAAGATTCTGAATCATCGTGTCATCTCCTAATTTTCGTATCACATGGATTCTGAACTGGATTTTAATATCATGCAACTAAAGTTTCTGAATCATTATGTTATATCGCTAAAGGTTTCGAAGCTTAATGTCATCTGGTTAAAGATTTTGAATCATCATGTCATATCGCTATGGATTCTGGACTTTAATATCATGTAGTTAAAGATTCTGAATCTTCGTATCATATGATTAGCATTTGATAAGAACTTCATTATCATGCTAAAATTCGATGAACCTGCGCAATGATAGCATCAGATTGCATTGGAAATTGTTTCTTCAAATCATTTCTTGCAGATATCGTTATGTATCGTACAATATCACTACAAAATAAACAATAAATTAATAAATGGATATCATATATTTCAAAAATGGAATCGATTAAAATTATTATATTCTAAGGAATAAAAGTAATGGAACATATAAATTTTAAGTGATAAATAATTATGATAAGATCAGTTAGTAATTGTGATATGATTATTTGATAATTATGATAAAATTATTGAATGATAATGTTCAATTGTAATTATGATATTTTCATTCATTATCAATATTTTCATTCTTATCTAAAGTTATTATTTATCATATTTTATAACATTCTATAATTTTATTATAATTGAAAAGAAGAAAAAAACAATGAAAGAGAAGTAAAAATCGAAAAGTAATTATTTATAAAACTTACGGATATTCAGTAATTTTCCCGAAGATTATTTCAGTATAAGCCATAGACCAATGAATTAAAAATTCTTTGCTATCATTAAAAATTTTAATTACTGTAGCATTACTCATTGCCTGATCAATATTTTTTGGTTTAATACCAGTTATTGATTGAAAAAGATTGAATGGATTAAGATTGAAATATTTCCCATGAAAATCAGTATGAATTAATTTTTGATTAAGTTCCGCCATTTGTAATTGTTGCAATTTCATTTTGCCATACAATCTAAAGTTTACATTTAAATTTTAAATGGATCAATTGCAATTTTAAAAGAAAATTTCAACTGTTATTTTCATTGAAATTTGATAATAATCAAAGGATAAAAAAAAGTCGTCCAAATAAGTTTGATTGTAACATTTGAAATTCAATTTTTAAAATTTGCGTCCTTTAATGCTTATAATGCGAATTAAATTAGTACTGAAATGAATTAATTTGAACTGAATTATCAAAATGAATCACGTAAATAATTAAAATACGAAAAATTTTTAACATTTTACTAACTTAACTTGCAAAGATTTTCCATTACTTGATTTCTATTACATATGGTACTTAAATGTAAATTGCCTTTGTAAATACAAAATTGAATTGAACTGGAATGAATTTATTAACATGAATTATTTTTATGAAATGTAAATCTTAATTCATAAGACAAATTATTAATTATATTTAGCAATATAGCACAGGAAATCAAATTGATTTTGAAATGTAGTACTGAAAATTGAATTTGTATTAAATATCAGGAAGGAAATTTTACGGAAATTCTCTTCTTCTATGCATTTGAATTATCGTAATCATAAAAATTTAAAGAATTAAATAAATTATTAAAAAACGAACTTCATTAGTATTTGCAAAATAACACATGATGAGGAATTCCGGAAGTTGATCGGATTATTCAGTTGTTTTATTTCTTCATGCAAATATTTCGCTAATAATAAGGCTAATAATGACATTTCCCGGTTGCCCATACCGTAGTTGTAAACTGGCAGAACGGATTTCCGGAATAAATCGGACAATACTAAAAAGATTTTGTTTATAAGGAATGAAATTCAATCAGATTTTGACATATGTATACTCTAGGAATTATTGACTAACGGTTATCTATCAATCTAATCATTTTCTAGAAATGTAAAAAATTAATTTTGAAAATTTAATTCTTATATGAAAGTCTAAAATTAATAAAAAAGGGTGAAAAAAAGCTTTTTCATTTCTTCAACTATGTTAAGCTATTTTTTACAATAATTTTATTTATGATCATTTTAATTTTAAAAGTAAATTTCGAGTAAAAATTACTTTTTTTTGATACACATATATTTTCAAATGGAAAAATTCTTTGTAATTCTCTTTCTTAATTTTTTAATTAAAATTCTTTTTAATTAAAATTTAAAATTTTCTTAGTTGAAATTCTTCTTATTACCTTTAATTCCTCAAATTGTCTGATGCTTGAATATGTTCCTTTTTTTTAGTTTTGATAATTTTAACAAAAAATTTTCAAAAATTGTCTAATGAAAGGTAATTTCGAAAAAATTTCCATGTGGTTAATTTAATTTTAGCTCCTATTCATGATATTTCAAATCTTACCGTTCCGACCATTGCCATATTTACCAATCATTTTTACATTTTAAGCCTTACCTGTCCTGATCATTGCCATATTTACCAATCATTTTTAC